CCAAGCAGGCTCTGCAGCTGTCAGCACAGAGCCTGATGCGGGGCTCGAGCTCATGAACCAGGACATCATGACCTGAGCCGAAATCAAGAGTTGGATGCTTCACCAACTGAGACATCCAGGCGCCCCAAGAATATGTGTTATTTAATGAGTGGTGTTGGTGCAACTGAATCAACATCTAGGGGGAAAATGTTGGGTCCATACCGCATACCCTTCATCCAAATCAATCCCGTATAGATGAATATCCAATCATAATTAATGTAAAATACTAGAAGCTATCTACACTTAAGGGCACAACAATGCTGAAGTAAAAGAACGGAAAAAGGCATACCACGCAAACATAAGCCGAAAAGAAAATTATGTGAAGTACATATAGTAGACTTCAAGGCAAAAAGCATTACTAGAAATAAAGAAGGGCACTTCATATCAATAACTCCAACTTACCAGGAAGCTGTAAATTTGTATATATTTAATAACAGTCTCAAATTACGTACAGCAACAGAGCTATAAGGAAAAAATGGACGAATTTATAGTCATAAGAGGAGACTGAACTCACCTCACTGTAAACAGCAAAGCTAAACTGATAGAGAGTATCTCTTTCAGAATCAGTAGACCCCCCCCCAAAAAAATCAGTAAGGTAGAAAAAAACTTAAATAATATGAGGATCAAATGAAATTCAGCAAGCACGTATAGTCCACTATACCTAACGGCTGCAAATTACAAATTATTTTCAAGCACACTTGGGACATTTTATTACTATTATGTTTAATGTCTATTTGGGAGAGAGAGAGAGAGAGAGCATAAGCAGGGGAGGGGCAGAGAGAGAACGGGGGACAGAGGAGCAGAAGCAGGCTCCATGCTGACAACGGTGAGCCCGATGCCGGGCTCGAACTCACCAGCTGTGGGATCATGACCTGAGCCGAAGTCACACATGAGATCGTGATGTGAGCTGAAGTCAGACGCTCAACTGACTGAGCCACCCAGGTGCCCTGCAGTTGGAACATTTAAAAAAAAACGACGGTAGGGGCGCCTGGGTGGTG